GCGCCTCTTTGAGTGCCATCACCAAACCAGGTGCCCAGCTCGCCCAGTCCCTTGAAGCCTCCATAGATTCCTGCAGCCCCTTGGGAAGCGGGTCCGTTCGCCGAGATGAATCTCTCAAGCCGTCCAACTGTTCCACTCCAGGCAGGTTCCCAAGGATCGTAGTTGGCTTCCGTCGGGCATGCCCCATCTGGGATTGATCGAAGCTCACCAACTTCAGGCCCCCCAGTCCGACCATCTCCTTCATCTCAGGGAAGTTCCAAAAGGACGGAAGGTTGTGTGCCGCCTCAGCTCCCAAGTAGGCCATTGGATCCTCTGGAGATTCCAATGCAAAAGCCGTGGGAAGCGATTGAAGCTCTGGGACCTGCATGCGTTTCTCCTCAGCCTTGATGAAGAGTCCAATCTGCTTGAAGAGCAGGGCTGTGTCAGAGTTGACCCGATGAAGGTCCCATGTTGAAAGACCTTCCAGGGAAAAGCGCCATCCATCTCGCCCCCTCAAAGGTGGCGGTCCCGGCTGGCGTTGCCTCAGCCTTGAGGTTGTGCGACAAGGCGGGCCACCCAGGATCGCGGCGATCTTTCCAGCACAGGCCAACTCCCAAATGAAGGCCCAAATCGATGCCTCATGTAGATCAACTCCTTGGAGAGTGTCAATGGTGAGGACAACATAGCCCTCCTGTTCAAGCTCAGCCCACTGCTTGAAGTTCCGACCAGAGAACAAGTGCAGGATGACTCCACGAGAGCGCCATAGCCTTCGTCGCCGATGACGGTTCCAAGGCAGGCTGGCGGCATGATCCCGCCATGAATCGCCCTGCCCCTTCATAAACTTCCAGACTGAAGATGGCACCTGTGGAAAGCGATTCGCCCACCAATTCAATTCATCCTCTCTGACTTCAACATCGTTCTGCTGCATCTTCCCCAAGTCGGCCAGCAAATCCAGACCCTCAGTTCGAGGCATCACAGGGCAACCACCCCTCAAGCTGCACTTCAATGGCCCCCGGGTTGGATGATGGATCACAATGCTATCTCGGCGCCAGGTGATCCTGTAATCCGCCGCCACCAGCCATGCCAAAGGGATGATAGGCTCCACCGGCCCCTTACTGAGCAAGGTCTGATGCTTGGGGTGCTTGTAGAGCACTGTTGACCCACAAGCCAGCTCCACCTTCGTGGCAATCAGGTCCGGTTCCTCCTCGGGCTTAGCCTGTCGAAGCCCATGAGTGGCACCTCCATCCAACAAGGCATACTCACCAGGCCCACCAAAGTTCCCTTCTCCCACGGACTTCATCCGCACGGCCTTCAAAGACCTGATGGACTTCAGGAGGCTTGTAGCTTCTCGCATCAGCTCTGCTGCCGCCTCTGTTGAAGGCTCACCCATCGGCTCCGTCGTGGTGGAGTCTCCACCTTGGGTCTCCTCCGAAGCTCCACCAGAGGCTGTGTTGGTCACCTCCTTGGGCTTCAGCTCATCTCCACCAGCCGTCTTCAACTTCTGAGAGTCCCCGGCGGAACCTTTCACAGCCGGCTTAGGCGTCGCCTTCACCTTGGAAACCTTCTTGGGTTGTAAGCCATCCCCCATCGGACCAGCCGATGGAGTCGAGGTAGAAGTCGAAGTAGATGAGGTTTTGGCAGTGCAGTCCTTCCACAATTGAAGCACCGACCTTTCATGTCCGACGTCTCGTGAAGGAACGTGCACTGTGCCCCACGTTTGCACCCTTCAGGGGTCTTCCAAAACTTGCATGGAGACTTCAAAGTAGTCCCTGTAGGCACACTCATCGTCGATGTTGGCACATCCAACCCGGCCATGGCCTTCAATGACGTGGCCCCCTGAGCACCAACCGTCGTGGCCTTCAAGCCAATCCCAAGGCTCAGCTCCTCCGCCTCAGACTGAAGGTACTCAGCGTACTGCTCGATGGATGGGGCCATAGGCCTGATGTCCACTCCAAGCTCCTGCCTCACCGAAGCTACTCGGTATGCCAACTGCGTGCCACCAAGCTTTCCCAACGCGTCTGCAAAGCGGTGCAAGACTCCACCCAAGATGACCGGATCCGGCAGCGCTAGATTCAACTCCAACGACCTACTCATCAATCTTCTCCACCTTCGAAGTCCACCCAGCAAGTCCGGTGCGCCAGCTGCCACCCTTGGCTCCGTGAGCTGTTTAAGGATGCTCACCCTCTCAGAGCTCCCACCCGGCTGGAAAATAGTCCACAGCCTGTACATGATGCCTGTCACCGTCATAGTCCGGCTGGCAATCAAGTCCTGCTTGATGAGCTCCGGGATGCACTTCAGCAGCATCGGTACCACCCTCTGCTCCAAGCGTAGGTGCGCCTCAGAGCGCTGGATCTCCAAAGGTCGAAGTCGGATCCTCTCCAAAGGAGTCGATGTGAGCCACCGGTCATAGAGGTTTGAGGCTTCCCTCAAGATTTCACTCCACCACCCACGAGCTGATCCAGCAACATCTCCAATCATTGGGGTGACCACCGTGATCCAGTCTCCAAATTGTAAGGCCGACTGCTCTGAACCTGGCTGTGGAAGTAGAGGAAGATCGGAGCCTCTCAGCTGCTCCAGAGGCGATACAGCTCCTTGTTGTTGATCTGGTCCTCCAAGTCCAGGGGGTCTCACTACCGAGGTAGTTCCTGATGTGCCACCACCTCCAAAAGACGCCATAGGGCCTGAGGCATTCCAATCACCAGTGAATTGACCACCACCGTGTGGCCCAGCAGCGTACCCTTGTGAGTTCGCCGTTGATCCCATGCCCCCACAAAGTGCACCAGCATGAAGGCCACAGTAGGAAGCACCTGCTCTGCCATGAAGTCCAGGAGATTGGCCACCAGGAATTCCAGGTGAATGCACTGCCATCGGTGACACCGGTTGGCTCCAAGTGAGCCCACATCCTTGACCAACACCTTGTGCACCATGTTGATGTCCATCCAATCCAACTTGACCACGTTCAGCAAGATGAGAAGGTGCTAGATGTCCAGCGGGATGCATAGCCAGTGAAGGTGTAGTTGCCGACCCCTGCAAGGCTGGCATCGGAGGCACCGACCCTGTAGTCGCACCAGCTCCACTTGAGGCTGTGTGGTAGGACCGAATCTCCCCACCTTCACCTTCTTCTCCACGAAGTTTCTTCGCCTCTCTAACGAAGCTCTCTTCGGCCTCCTTCATGATGCGCAGTCTCAACTCCTCGACAGACTTTTCTGGGGACGGTTGAGACAACATCCCAATGGCCAAGGCCTGCACAGGACCTGCGCCATTCAGCGTCCCTTGGGCCTGCTCAGGACCCCCATGTAGAGCTCCTGCACCACGGGCCTGCCCAGGGCCTCCATGTAGAGCTCCAGCACCACAGGCCTGCACAGGGCCTCCATGTAGAGCTCCAGCACCACAGGCCTGCACAGGGCCTCCATGTAGAGCTTCTGCGCCAAGGGCCTGCTCAAGGCCAGCACTACCGCGGGCAGCCTGCCCAGGGCTCGCACCAGAATGACCATGTCCAGCAACCCCATAGCCAGCAGGGCCAAACGTCACAGGTGCCCCGGCAAGAGGCGGCAAGGATTCTGGTCTTGCCACATCAGCGACCTGTTCCAGAACTGCAGCTCGCTGAACTCCAGCGCTCCAAAAGGCATTGACTCCAGGAGGCACTGCCATCACCCCAGCGCCACCTCGCTCTTGGCCAAACAGGCCAGTAGATGCCACCAGCATGGACGTCCCATCACGGTGCACGAACCCTTGTTCCCGGCCAGCATCACTAGAAAGGTTCCGAGCCAGCTCCAAACCAGCTCCAGCAGCACTAGGTCCTCCATGAAGCCCTCGTTCAGCTGCCACGGCAGGGCGAATGTCATCATCTTCGTCCAGCCTTCGTCGAAACACCGTCTGAGCTTCATCCTGCCCAGACTCATGAAACAGCGGAGCAAGAAGGCCATCAGGTCCTAGAGGTTCTGCATCAAGTTGGAGTGAGGTCACATGCCCTTGTGGTCCTTCAGTTCCACCTTGTCCCCGACCTTCATCTCGTCGTGGCTCTGGCGTCGAAGCAGCCACGTCCCCCTCGGTCACCTTCAGTCGTCGGACCTCGGGCACTTGGGGAACTTCCAGCTTTGACCTCCTCTCCATCTCGATCAGCCTATCCAAGCGCTGATCTGCCGTCTCGTGGTGCTGCCGGCGCCTGCGCTCCATCACGGCACCGCACACCCAAGCCAGTGAAGGCTTGGGCTCATAACCTGCGAAAGGCAGGTGCAAAAAGTCTGCCCTTTTCTTGAGCCATGTGCAAACGGTCATCCTTGTGCAGGGGCCATGCAATGAACGGTCGTCCAACAAGCATGCCAGTCCTACAGTAGACAGCACTTCTTGATTTGTGCGTGTCATTCTTTGAAAACGGCACCACAGTTCCAAATGGCATCTGATGGCATGTGAAACATCGTCACATAAAATGTTGTTTAGATGGCTCTTTTTTTGGATGTTTGTCGGCACCATCTTTTTGTGGTCACTATGAAAGCTAAACAATAACTCTTGATGGCTAATGAGCGGCTAATGGGATTCAATAGGCGATAATAATATTATGACATCAGAAAGTATCGTTTTGTTTGATGGTTAAATTAAATGGCAAAATCGTCATGTTGACTCCTTCATGGGACACAATGATATCAGAAAGAACATGTTTTGATACTTGAATGGTTCACAATGGTTCACATCATCGCTTCTATAGGTCCATGAGCCACAGTATATCAGAAAAAAGTTTAGTTTGATGGTTCAGAATGCAAATCATCACTGCATACTATCAGCAACATACCAATTTTCGGTATGCTCTTATCCAAGTTGAGCAGGTGTTTGAGGCACCCGGTCACTCTAGTAGGGATCCAAGTCGGTGGCCAACTGAATCAGCACATTCATTTGCAGAAAAAAAATCTTACGATTCACTTATCGGCCTCCATAAGCCTTTCAAAAAAAACAGTTGGAGTTTTCCAATGGGCTGTAGCCCATGACTTCGTTCAAACCCATGGTGACCTGGGACCCCCCGGTACCTTCGCGCTGCATCGCTCGGCTTGCCTGCTGCTCCCAGCTGCCCCGCCCCAGCCCCCGCAGCGAGGGCGTGGACTCAAAGAGCCCACCGATCGGACGGCCGCGCAGCTGCAACAAGCCTGGCATGGCACACCCCCAAAGGAATGGAAAAGATGTTCTTCTTCAATGTGTGTAAAACAATGCCATGTTTACACATGTTTACCATCCCCCAGTCATCACCATTTTTATAGGTGGTGTGACATACCATTCCCAAATGGGTAGTTTATGATTGTTTTACCACATTATTTGATTTATATAATCTGTTTGTATATATATATATATATTTGTATACTGATGTGTTCTTGATTTTTTTTTGATGTGTTGAAGATTCGCATTTTCGCTCCAATTTCAAGGAGGGTAAGATCCCGCTCACGGATGGCTAAAGGATTTTTGACCCATGCCCCATACCTCCGTTGCTCACGATTGTTACCCCAGGCACGTCGCAACGCGAGGCGCGTGTGCAGCACTCCCCTGCGGTTTGTGGCGCCCGCACTGTGGCCGGACGAACGGGACCAGAGGTTGCTACGTTGCAAGGACAGCCGTGGAAGGCTCAGGTTGAGTGCCTCCCAAGGTTCGGAAGCCATGAGGCAGTGGCCCAATTGCTTGGAGGCAGGATTTAGGGTACTCTTGGGAGCCAAGTTTCTACTCCCCGTCTGCTCTCTTGGAAGCCGAATCTAGAACCCGAGAAGTTGCTTTGGATGATCTCATCCAATGATCATCCATTTTCGCTTGGGTTCAGAAGCTCAAGTCCATGTAAATCCTCCGCGTTCACTCCCTTTTTGCCAGCTCAAATCCCAAGTTGTTGATACTTGTTGTGTCAAAAATAGGTCCGCAACGCTTGGCTTCGCCATGTCTTTTCATGTCTTTACCATGATATATAATATATATAATATATATAATATATAATATGTATACATATATATATATTATATATATACATAGATTGTATATGTATGTATATAGTTTCCCGGAAATTCACCACATCAACCAGCACAACAACGCCTGGCCCAGTTGGGATAGAGAGCTTCGCGGATTGGGCACCGGCGCCCATGCGCGACCCTGCAAACAGCAGGAGACCTAGGGAGTCGCGGGATCCAAAAAACGCAAACGTTACCCAGCCGACTCAGCCGAACAGCAAATGCTACGGAAAATGGATGATAAATGATGATAACATATAACGGTACATCTTTTAATGACTTACATCTGTACAAACGGAACTTATATAACATTATAACAATGTTGATGTTCCAATTGTTGTGTTACCAAAGATGACCGCCCCATTGGGCACGCGATTGGACTTTCGAAATCTCTAGGCCTTCGGGTTTGGTGTAAGGAATGCTGAGGAGGGTGAGGAGAACATAAATCCCGAAGAACAAAAAAAGAAACTGAATTTTTAATAATTTTACGAAATTGCTGGATGATAACTGCTTAACCGTCAAAATTATTGGGGTACAATCATGGTCATGAACCGCATGCTCGTCACCTAAGGGTCTATTTTTGTACGGATTTGTTGCGCCAAGGACCCGGCCATCAGCAATCCTGGCTTCACTTTTGAACCCACCAAAGCCTGCATCACGTGATGGTATGTGATGCTGTTAGGCCATCGAACACTCCGCACCGTTTTTTGTCGCCTGGATGGCATAGTCCCCCAAACTTCCGCAGGGATGGAGCCCTTGGCAGCCAATGTTCAGCCATGCAGAGTTAGAAATGGTTAGAAATGGTTAGAACCTGGGGGGCACCATATGCGGTTGCTTCATGTCATGAATGATATGGGTATATAGATACATTCACTAGGTACCAGGGTTTTGACCCATCCCCATATGAATCTTGCTAAAAATTTGCTTTGAAATGGGCCCTCACAGGATCTGCCCAGGCACCCACCACCAAATCTCCGGGCTGCAGGGTCGCTCGAAGAGCAGAAGCATTCTGAATATCACAGCAACGAAAGGTGAGGAGTTCCGAAGGCCCGGCCAGCCTCAACTAACCAAGCGATGGGGCATACCGTCATACCGAGTCATACCTCTGAAATTCGGAATGCTGAGAAAGCTGAAGGAGAAACAATTTGGGCTGGGTTCCAATCAGTTCCCATCATTTCATCGGATCCATACTTTTTGATCCATACATAAATGTGCAGTCCGTTTATTCGGGCGCATTGTGTTCAGCAAAAAAATACATATTCAAGTGCATCATCTTCATCAAGATAAGCCACTCTGGTACATCTGCAATGTCATATTAATTATATTAAACGGTAGTGCCATATGCATGTGTACAGCGTGATCGAACCTTATACAATCATATGCATCTGATTTACCCTGCAAAGGAACAGCCGCTTACAGAGTAGGCCTGATCGAATTAAGACCTGAAAAAATACATGCCACGTATGGACTTTGAGGTTTTTGCATGATAGTACGTATGCAAACAGGGAAGGAGAGAGTACCCTCTGGTAGGTTAACATGGCTATGAAAAGTCACCATTCTGGATAAGTTAATCAGCTATAATTTTGCCATGATGTCCAAAGCAAACTTCTAAATTATCAAGAGGGCAAGTATCCAATTATTTATTCCAATTCTATCACGATTATATAGATTCCATTCCGTCAGCAATTGTTGTTGGCTATGTTACTCTATATTCGTTTAAAAAAAACACCATCAATAAACACCATTAGATACCCTAGGGTAAACTAACCATGTCAACTTGACCCACCATTGATCATTTTCTTGCTTCCCCGTGCTTCCCCCAATGGGTTTTCCACATTTTTTTTATATCTTTACCCTAGGGGAACCACCGACCCGCCACCAACGAGAGCTGCATCCCAGCTACCCGGTCGCCAAGCGCACTTGCTGCGGGTCCCGGTCCAAGCCCACAGTCGGGACCAATATGGCCTGCTCGGAAAATCTCAAGGATTTCCATCTGATAAACCCAATAAACCATAGATAGGTGGAATTTCAACCATCCCCAAATGGTAGGTTTAGTATTAACACGCACAGAACCGGACGTTTGCCCGGAGCCTGTAATTTCTCGCATGAAACGGTCCTTCTTTTTCACGGACCCCCACGAAGTCTGCGAAGGGTTGTCGCCGCAAATTATTCTGAAACGAGCCATGAAGCGAATTTCGTGCCATACGGGGGGCCACACCTAGTGTATGGTCCATTCCTGTAAGATGGTTAGAACCGCGGATGAAATATGTGTTAAAACCGTGAAAAGATGCAATATATTGTCATCTTGGGTGAAGGTTAGGTTCTGCGGGTGTTATATGATTATATAATGTTGTCCTACAACTTTTTGTTCAAAAAAACGCACTGGTTTGAAACTGTTTGAAGAAACATATTACTGCAGTATCTATACATAATCCAAAGAGCGCAAAACTATGTAAAAAGAAGGGACGTTCTCGGCCCATGTTCGAAGGTAATTTTTCTCATTGGGATATTTTGGGGACACATTGGCAACGCTTCAATCATGCAGGACACTCAATTTTTGCAGTGGTTCTCTCTCAAGCCACTGTTTTGCTTCGCGTAGCAAACCTTGCGAATCAAACCATCTTAAAGCCCTCATCTCTCCCAATAAATGGTGCGTTTCTGTATCAAATCTCTATGTCTTTCTGCTGTCGAACTCCCTTCCAAATACATCCAAATAAGTTTGAAAGCCAATGCTTGCTGCTAGTGGATGTAGATGCCTTGCAAAGGCACAAAAGTTGACGCCCTTTGAAACCGGTCAATCATAGGTCAATCTTAGTTGGCTGGTCTATGTTTTCCCCCATTTAACAGCTATACTCCTCCATTTATTGTGGATTTCCAATGATTTCCCCACGGTTTGGCCTTGATTTTCCCATCAATCAGCACCTCCATTTCCTTCTGGGATTTCCCAGTCGGTCCACCTGACTCAGCTGTCGCGTCAACGCGCCGGCACCGCAGCCCAGATCCACCAAACGCCGCACTTGGGAGGTGCGGAAATGCTGCTGGAGCACCTGGTTGGTTGGTTAATATCATTATATATTATGATGATCTAGTACTAGTAGCAGTAGTAGTAGTAGTAGCAGTAGCAGTAGCAGTAGTAGTAGTAGCAGTAGTAGTAGTAGTGGTAGTAGTAGTAGTAGCAGTAGCAGTAGTAGTAAGTAGTAGCAGTAGCAGTAGCAGTAGCAGTAGCAGTAGCAGTAGCAGTAGCAGTAGTGGTAGTGGTAGTGGTAGTGGTAGTGGTAGTGGTAGTGGTAGTGGTAGTGGTAGTGGTGGTAGTAGTAGTAGCAGTAGCAGTAGCAGTAGCAGTAGCAGTAGCAGTAGCAGCAGTAGTAGCAGTAGTAGTAGTAGTAAGTAGTAAGTAGTAGTGTTACCAGTTATTGTTAGCATTGATATTGCTATTATTATCATTATTATTAGCAGTAGTAGTTGTTTTTCTTATTATTATTAGAAGTAATGATATTGCTTTTCTTATCGTTATTATTGTTATTATTATATAATCATTGTTGTTGCTACTCTTGTCAGTTATTTTTTGTTGAATAATTTGACTTATTAAACAAAAAGACGTGGAAAAACCAATGGGGAAACCTGTTGGGAAAACTATCTATACAAATGGTGGGGTTTTCCACGTCTATGTTCGTGTACAGAAGGGTCATAATCGTCCTGAAGCGAATGGAATATGGGGGTTTGAGAAATCGTCCCATTTTCGTGAGGAGTTTGATTATGTTTGATTCACATGTCCAGTATTCGATCTACTTGAGGATGACTATGATGACATAGCTATGGAAAAAAGAACCATGAAATTCCAAGGGGAAACCCCTAGATTTCCATAGCTATGTTACTTTACTGTGGAGGCTACTGCAAGAATCGAAGTTCCAGTTTATGGATGATAATTCCCAATAAATATACGATACGTAATACGTACATAATATGTCAACAAATGTCAACAATATATACGATATAGAGATATATAGAGTTATTCAGGGCAGTGTAACCCCATAATCATCAACTAACAGCGATTTAGCAGCCACTACTCATTTCATGACGGTGTCATTTTAGGGACGGATTTTCCCCATGATCAATCACGTGGATCCAAATGGACTCCCAAAGGGCACCTTCTGCACGCCCAAAACTTGCCTCGGAAAGAGATGGTCCTGGGTTGGAGCTGTAACAAAATCTTTGAGAACTATAGTAGCAACATGTAGCAACCAAAAACATCGAAAGATTTTTATTAAACTCATCCTAAGATCAGACAGGGAAGAATGACTTTGCTTTCAATGGTTTTGGGTGTTGCTACGGCTAGTGTATCTGTTTTTTACTTATACTCAGCACAGCATCACCGTGGGGACGAGCTGCGACCAAGAAGCTCGGCCTTCTTTTTCTTCATCCGAAAGGCTTGACCTGTGGACAGGCCCTGAATCCCTGCTTGGTGTGAGTCATGGAGTTTGTTTATTACTTAGTAATTGGATATAGCATCACATTAATGAGATGCATCCCATTAATGTGATTAGCTTTAGCTAGCTATGATATCTATGATAAAGCTAGCTTCATCACTACTTAGTTACTCATTAATCTGGGCAAATTATAGTAATTCACGAACCTGAAACTTGCGGCCATTTTGGGATGATTCCGCTTATTAACCATGATTCCAGGGCTCGGTCGCAGTGAGGTCGTTGTAATTTGCCCAGATTGATTAAGGTGTTTATAAACCAGCTACTACCCTCTGGTAAACTAACGTAACTATGGAAAATCACCATTTTTTAATATTTTTTATGGATAAATCCACTATAAATGGCTATTCTCAATAGCTATTTTGACATAACCAGAGGGTAACCAGCTAACAGTTAGCCAATCACATCCCATCGCGAACCTGGAAGCCCCCACCTGGAGTGGAATCGCAAGGCAGGAGCCTTGCAATTCCGGGGATCGCTGAAATGCTGCTGCATTTCAGGTAGGATAGGTAGGGTAACAAATATCTATGGGTCAAAAAATTGGTTATTTCTATGGGTTATTCCTATGGGTTATTTCTATGGCTTGTAAGTCACTTAAAATCTGGTGACAGCCAGCATCCCACAGCCGCAGACTGGATCATCCAGCTGGCTGGATATCCACGTTGCCAAATTCGTTCGATCCATTGTGTATAGTCACAATATGATATATATATATATATAAATATATAAAAATGGTATTCCCCGGAATTAAACAGCCGTTTGGGGTTTATGAATGCAGGGTTGACATGTAGATACTATAGTGTGAAGTTGAAGATGTTGAAGGGCATACTCATTGATCTCATTGCAACCTTCGAGTCCGATCTTTTTGACTGTTCATGTTGTTGGCTACAACGTCTGCAACAATTAAAAATCAAGAAACGAGAAAATTCACCGACAAAGCAGTCATGGACATTCATCCTGTCCTGCACCATGGTTATTAATTCCCTCTTCCCTCTGGTAACATAGCAGCATAGCTATGGACAATGACCCGTTTTTAGATGATTTACAGATTTACAGAACCTATTTGAACATAGTGACTCTCCGTTAAATGACCGAAGGATACTTGGGCAGTCTCTCGAAATGGTGTTCCAAAAAGGACAGGTGCATGAGAATTCTCGCCGCATTGAACCTCATTTGGCTAGCCAAAATCTTCATCTATGTGGCTTTCAAAGCCCCCCCCCAAAAAAAAAAGTCTTGAGGTTCCCAGACATGGTTTGGACAAGTTCCAAGAAACCCTCCTTTTGGATCCTATAAGATACATGCAAAATATCATAACCCCTAGTGAAAACCCAACAGAGACTTTGGATCTCAGCGGCTGATGTTCCAACCACTCCAAGTCTGCCATCCAAGATTTCAAGCTGGCGGGCAAGCCTGTGATTCCTGGGCAGATTGGGGGCGAAGGGGTCAACCAGGTCAACCATTGAAATGCTCATGGATTTTGAGCGCAGGTCCCTCAAAAGACATGCGTGTCTCCAGTCCCAATCCACGATTGAAGCTGGTCTATGAAAAAAACACCCTTGCTGTAGAGTCCTTTCTTGCGGATAGGGCTGATGAACATTGATGAACCAACAAAAACTTGGTCGATGCGAAGAATATATAAGAATATCTCTTTAGATATTTCATCTGGCAAACCCAATGCCATAAACCACTAACTATCCCATAACCACCCATAGTAGGACGTCGTGATAAACTAAACATCATTGATCCCAAAAAAGGAGCACCATCCCTTGCGCGCGCTAATTATCACAACTATAATCCCACAGTTTCCAATATCAGAATGGGAGACGGTCCATGTTTGGGTTTACCTCATACGATATTCGGCTTCGATAATCCCAATTAGCATTAGCATCATTCTTCATGGAAACAGTCATCCTGGAAAGCGAATTCCCCGCCATCAAACGATCGATCAAATCATATTGATCATATTGTTGGTTCTTGTTGGTTCTATATTTCATTTTAGGAATACCAACATTAAAGTTGCTTTAATACCCACTATACAGACATATATAATCGCACACACCCACACACTGACACACATACATATATTATGTTTATATGCATATTATATATATATATACATATGATATATTCATATTCATGTGGATATTTCACCATATATTTAACCATGCATACTAATACCATATTATAAACATGTGGAACATTGGATATATATTAATCACATTTAAGCATCCCTAAAAATCTCCCCATGATCTGCCGATTCGCCTCCAAGGCCTCCAAGGCCCAGCTTCTCAGCAGCTGTCAGCCTGTCATCTGCCAAGCCCAGAAAAAACCTCAGGGGGAAGCAAGAACTCCAAGGTGGGACTTTATATGTTTATAAGATATTATAAGATTCTATAGGTTTTTGACGGGACAAAAAATCATGATATATCATGATTAAGTCATCTTAATCAACAAGAGATGGTGATTTTATATTATTTTATTGGGGCTTATGGAGGCTAAATGCTGATTCAATCCGGTTTTCATGGATTAAACCATATGTGTGTTGGTTTATAACATGTATAACCCCCACGAATGCCAAAATGTATGTATAAATATATATATACATATATATATACATAATCTAAATACATATTATATATATACACATATGATATATAGATATACAATATACCTACCTATAATATCACCCTATATCTACCATAAACCCGAGTTGACTTCCTTACCTCCCAGATGCATCACATTTTATCTGTCTCGGTGGTTTGTTGCTCCCCAGCTTGTTTTGAGTGCGACGTGTCGAAAACCCATAGTAAACCCATCTAAGCCCAGAATCCCAGAAACATATGGGTATGGATCAATACCTGTTAATACCATTTTTAGGGGGTTATTCACATCCATAAATCCCAGCTATTTTGATGTGAACTACAGGGGTACTATTGGTTTTGACACACTGCCATATCTATAAAATCAAAACAACATCTAAGATCATCTAAGTCTATGGCTGCCACCCAGTTGTGAAATGTTCATCTCTCAACACCAAGCCCTCACCATCGCCGGTCGGCTCAGCCCACGGAAGTTGGACCTGATCCTGAGGCGATCCAAGGACCTCAAAATGTGGATGATATCCAAAAAAACATGTGATGACATATTATACTGGTTGGTGGTTTTGACAATCTTGAAATTCATTAGTCAATGGGAAGGATTATCCCATATATTATGTAAAAATAAAAAATGTTTGAAACCACCAACCAGTATAATATTATAACACGACTATCAGAAAAAATACCGAAAGTCCCCAAAAAAAATGCATAAAAATGCGTGATCTATATACCATACCCAGTTACTGTACCAAAAACATAATATTAAAAAGACTTAAAAAAACCAACTGTCTTAACAAACACCAGGCGTCCTCATCTGTTTGCGCTGCCCGCAGCCTTGCGCAAAGGCGAAGCGCATCCGGCAGGGCCTGGCGTGGTCCAAAAGTGGTGACCATACCCTAAAATGGTCATTTCAAGATAGGAATGTGTTAAATATGTTAAATTAAATATGGTCAAATCATCCAATGTTGGTGATATGATATCCGATTTTTTGAGACAAAGCAATGATCTTCGTGCGGAATTTCGGACTAGACTCCTTTCACTTGGTTTAATGCAGTGCAAATCTTACATAATCCTATGTGGAAAGCATGTCGTTTACATGCGTTTACCATCACACAAAAAGGGGTCTCCTGCACAGGCAATTCTAGGACCCTTACGCCTGACGCTTGTGCATTATGAACTTTTAGCCAAGCGATCGATGAGCATTGGGGATTGCTTATTTTTGCCAACACAATTACCGAAAACGGATGGAGCTACCGCTACAATCCGCTACAATCCGCTACACCACCATATGGGACCCCATAGGGACGCATAGGGAGAGCACGCAGGAACACAAGTCAAAGCGGTTGCGTCCATCAAAAGAAGTGAGGCAATTCTTCCCTGAAGACAGGATGCTGCCAAGCACTCCAGCAAGCACTTTGTTGCAATTGTTGCATTCAATTCTGATGGAATTTGCGCAAAGTGATTACATTTGACCAGAACAGCTGTTCTGAAAGAGGGCTGGATGACGTTGAAAGGTGCTGTTTAGTCTTTGATGGGTAAAAATTCCATGAAAGTCCATCTGCTGGCTCGGAACATCTAGCAAGTACTGTAGCGAAGCATGCTGTCACCTGCGGTTTCTGATTGCAGATTCAAGATCGGAGTTTTTCTGCGGGAGGTTGTGCTCCTTTGCGAATTCCTTGCTTTTGCTGCGTCGGGTGGATAAAGATCACCCAGTTTTCCACCAGGAAGTGGCCATCCCTTATATCATACCCCGTTCGAAGCTGCTGGAGGCTGCAGGCGGGCACCTCCAGATTTCGGCCAGCTTGCAGCAGGGCTAGCCCTAGCCCCGTGCTCCAAAGGGTGAGCACCGACGAGCGCCGCGCAAGGGCCATGGTGATAGGTCGACGCCATGGCTGGGAGGTCGAAGTGGACACGTTGCAGAAAAGCCACTGTTTTCCCATGTTTCTTGCCATGGATTCTGTGGGTTTCCCCAGGGGTTTGCCTTCAACTGATTCCGGGAACCTAGGCTCTAGATCGTTGGTTCTTATTTAGTATTCATTGGGGTTCCAGTTTTACTACTCTCCAGTAAATCAGTGATGGTCAAAGTTGGATACATAGTGATACACACCATAACCGTACATACATGGATACTTTCAGTCATCCAAGCCAAATTCTTAAGTGACACTGGTGAAAAGCGTCTGTCTTGAGAAGCGTCTGTCTTGCAGTTTCTTGTCCTTTGATGCCATCTAGTGACAGATCGCGGGCGATGGCTGTTTTTTTCAGGAAAACTATCTTGAGGGTTCTTGGCACATGTTGGGCTCAACATGGCTCAACAAATGAACATAAGCTGATGGGATGTTGACCTACCTATTTCTGACGGGAAGCTTAACCACAGCTGCCCAAAGCCTTACTTTTTTTCAGCCGGTTTCGCTGGGCTTTCCTGCTAGTCAGCAGGGCTGAATCTCCATCTCTCGGTGGGCGCGCGGCGACGGCCACAGCACTCGCCACGCGCGCCCGCGGGAGGTGGAAGATCAGAAATGGAAGCACTTTAAATGCCTCATTTCGCGCGCGAGCAGCCGCAAGTCCCCCTGCAGCAAGGATCAGCGGGACGACCTGGACAAAGGAGCTTTTTCTTGGACATGCTATATAAATGGTGCGCGCTCCCTGCTAGGAGGAACCTGCGGCTTCAGTGCCCACGGCCCAAAAAATCTGTCTGGCCGGGTTGAAATATGGCCATGCCTATCTCAAGGCAGATTGAACTAGACGGAAGCGAGCATTTCTCGGCAGCTCCCCCAGTCTCAAAGCATGAAGTGACCAGAAGTGACCGGAGATGCCACCCAGAGAAACCTCCATTGGAGTCCCAAAATTGAAGCACCCTCCCCTTTTCACGCCAAATTATGTGTGACTGTCTTCGTATACCGGGGGGGAGCTGTAGATGCAGCAATGGACCCCTACCAGTCATGAATTCGCTTCTAAATATCAAATCACTTACCATTTAAAATCATTTAAATAGGATGAAAAATAGGCATGTGTTAACTGGCAAAGCTCATCATTTTGGATCATTTTGGGGGAGCCTCCAATTTGGAGAAACCTGTTTTTTTTTTAATGGGAAACCCCCTTGGGTTCACGTGATTCCGAGTCTTCCTAACGCTGCGCCGGCCGGCCAGGTCCTGCCAACTTCGAGCAGACCGGGAGCTGTGGGTGGGACCATAGGATGCCACTGAAATATCACAATTTCATCAATCATACTCAATCTATCTACAGTATGGTTGCCTGCAACTGCCCGGTGATTTTCCATGATTTTACTTCAACATCCACTCGGTGACATCAACATGGCAGTATCTGGTAGGCCAGATTTGACATCATGCCCCCAAGGTTATCTGGTTCTGGCCACTTTGAATCATGTTGGGTGGGTCCAGAATGGCGCCATCCGCTGAGAAAAGCCATCGGGCCATCCTGGTTCCAACCCGCACCTCCCACCGTGGAAAGGCACACCGATCTACCAGGGTGAAGACTCGCAACTCGCAGACGAGTTTGGGATTGGCTGCCTGTGGGTGTTGCAAAACACCACCCTCCTCTTGTCTTTGCTTTAGCAAATTTTAGCAAGCTTCACAAACCTCAACATTCCTAGAATTGCCATGGCCAAGCTGCCAAGCTATCAAGCTGTCAAGCTGGCAGATGGCTAGAAAGAGCTCAAGAGCTGCGTGCAACATGGTGTAAGCCTACTTCTATCCGCAACGCCCTGCGTTGCCCAGAGCGCAAGCACACAAGTGCCCCTAAACCTAACCTTCTATGTTGTTTTGAGTTTACGTCCTCCTCATCATCATAATAGTATATAATAGTATATAATATAGTAGCAATAGCAATGGTACTAACTAAAGTAGTGGTCGTACTTTTTAAAAAAAACATGACCCTCCGGTAATTTAACAGTTTGCTATTGAAAATGGCCCATTTATAGTGGATGTTCCCATTAAAAATGGTGATTTTCCATCGTGTTTTGTATGTTTACCAGAGGGCACCTTACTTCGGTGATCTCCAGCTCACATGATTCTGACGTCGCCAGACACTGTGATGTTTTGCAGCCCACCGTCTCCGGGCAGCTGTCCGAGCTCCACGAATTTTTCAAAGCCCCACTGGGAGATCAGCTGAAAGACTTATCAACTGAAGGACATGTGTATTCTTGGCTTGGCAGGGCTAAAGTTTGAAATGCTTCCAATATTTAGATGTATATATATATATATGTATATATATATATATAAGTCTTCCAATGAGTTTACGACTGGTCCGCGATAGCAAGAAAGCCCCCTGATAATCTCAGTTCGAAGCCAGCAAAATTCACATAATCTCAACGGGGATTGAAACCACCAAGTACACACCGCGAGCATTGGATAGTCAATGGATGGTGTACCAATAGTATCCAATAGTATTGAAGTTCATGGGCATGGAACATACCAGCATTGGATGGACATATTCACCTACTATATAATGTGCGGATGCATCGTGGAATATCGGCAAGTGAAATTGGGCGGCTCGCAATTTTTCCATCATTTTCCATCTACTCCAGGATGATTCAACGACAAAACCTGGGAAATCTGGCACTTTAAGATCACAAATCCAACTGATTTTTCAAATTTTGTCAGAAACCCTATGGATCATAGTTGATCAATACGGTTTAAAACCGGTGTGTTAAACGCTTCGGTCTCCCATTTCTCAAGGCGGGATGCCGAACCGTGTCTGACAGTGACAGTGCTGACGTCAACATCGCCCAATGGGCGGAACGGTGGCGAAGGAGAATTCTCCCAAACCTGGCTTTTCGATCATTCGCAGATCTCCACTACCCGGCCTGGTAAACTTACACTAAACATGGCATAACTATGGTTAATAATGGTTTATAATGGTTTATAATGGTTTATAATGGCATACCCTCTGGTAAACTTACACAAAACTATAGAAAATCACCTTTTTTTAATTGTAAATCAACTATTTCGATGGCCATTTTCAATAGCAAACTGTTAGTTTACCAGAGGGTAATGACAATGTAATGACTATCTCATAGTAAAAAAGTGGGAACCATGTGACAGTGGGATATTTGATGATGGATGATGATGGTTCTTGCTGATGATCCAACAGCTGAGTGGTAATATTCGGATATATTCGGATTATGAACCTGCTTGAAAGTGGGAGCATCGCCATATTGGAAGCCATTGCATGTAAAAGATGGGGACAACATCGGATAATTTCGGACTCGGAAAATGGTCGCATGGTTTGGAACCTGCCCTTGCCTGTTCTTCTTGAACATCTTTGGCACGTTTTGGATCGTCACTTTTATTTCAATGTCATGGTAAAATGGGGCTCATGGGGACACATTTGCAACTGCACACCCCAGCCATCACTTCAGCCATCACTGGTCACGGGAAAATCATCAAGTTCCAGGAGAAACTTCTGCGCTTTCGATTGTTTCAGCCATTTCCGTGCTAACTACAGCAACTCATACTTATATATATATATATATATAGATTATATAGACTTTGACTTTGGATGACCAAAGCAATATTTTTGGAGGTCCACGCCTTCAGTTTCTAGGGTTTCCACCAAAGCTACAGGAAAACGAACCATCGCCAAATTCCGAAGGCCTTCAACATCTATGGCCAGTTGACATTCCATCGTTTTTCTGGTCACATTTTTGAGGATGACTCCACGAAACAATGTCCGGACAGACCGGAAGGAAGACTTTTGCCGATGGTCATTTCACCACGGGGTCTTGTTTAATGTTCCCGTTCGGAAAAACATGGGATATCATCTGGAAAACCGTTATCAACGAGAATAAAATTTCTAGTCCCAGTAGATTCCCCAGTGGATTAACCAATGGGAAAACTAGACGACGGATGGCCCGAGAGCGTAGAGGAGCAGAGTCTTCTGTTGTTAGTATGGAGACACTATATTAAAGATGTATTATAGGCAGACGAGAAGAGTAGTATCAAGACAATATATGACTAGTACAAGACAATAGTTTGCATCGTATTTTTGTAAAGTTTTTCATACACAGAACTTTTTACAGACAGACGCTTTTGCACACAGAGACTTTTACACACAGAGACTTTTACACACAGACGCTTTTACACACAGACGCTTTTACACACAGACGCTTTTACACACAGAGACTTTTACACACACAGACGCTTTTACACACAGAAGCTTTTACACACAGAAGCTTTTACACACAGACGCTTTTACACACAGACGCTTTTACACACAGACGCTTGTTACACATAGGCTCTTTTACACACAGCCACTTTTACACACAGACGCTCTTACACACAGAGCCTTTTACACACAAACGCTTTTACACACAGACGCTTTTTGCACACAGAGAATTTTACACACAGAGACTTTTACACACAGAGACTTTTACACACAGACGCTTTTACACACAGACGATTTTGCACACAAACAGTTTTACACAAACACTTTTACACACAGACGCTTTTACACACAGACGCTTTTACACACAGAAGCTTTTACACACAGAAGCTTTTACACACAGACGCTTTTACACACAGACGCTTTTACACACAGACGCTTTTACGCACAAACGCTTTTTACACATAGGCTCTTTTACACACAGACGCTTTTACACACAGACGCTTTTACACACAGAGCCTTTTACACACAGACCCTTTTACACACAGACGCTTTTACACACAGACGCTTTTACACACAGACACTTTTACACACAAACGCTTTTACACACAGACGCTTGGACACACAGACGCTTTTACACACAGAGGCTTTTACACACAGACGCTTTTACACACAGAGACTTTTACACACACACAGACGCTTTTACACACAGAGCCTTTTACACACAGACCCTTTTACACACAGACGCTTT